TCCACTCACCTCAGCCTCCCAAAGGTGCGTGATTACAGGCTGAGCCACCGAGCCCGGCTTTTTTACGCATTTTTAAGTAAGCTGCAGGCATCATTGTACTCCATTCCAGACCACGGGTTCGAGACTAGCCGGGGCAACTTGGCGAGACCTCATCTCTATAATAAATAAAAAAATTGGCTGGGCGTGGTGGTGTGCACCTATAGTTCCAGCTACTTGGAAGACTGAAGTGGAAGGATCACCTGAGTCCAGCAGGTCGAGGGTGCAGTGGCTGTGAGTGTGCCACTGCACTCCAGTCTGGGCGACAGACTCCAAATAAAAAAAAAAAAATCTTTATCTACATATAAAATGTTCTTCCATGTCCTGGCTAAAGTTGTCTTGTGTAGGATCAGTGTTGTCCACCGGCCTTTCAGACTGCCTAGACCTATTTAATTCCCTCCAGTTACCCAGGCCCTTTGTACTAAAATTACCCTCATTTTACATACAAAAGAAATGAGCATCAGAGAAGTTTGACACAGGAGCAAAGCCATACAGCTACTTTGTAGCACAGTCAGGGTTCCAATCCTGATCTTCTGACTTCCCAGTTCAGAATGTCTACTTGTTCCAGTGGTTACATCTTGTGGTTTGCTCACTGTCCCCCAACATTTTTCCTGTCGAGACCTTCCTCTCCTGGCTTTCAGCTGTTCCCTTGATGTTTCCCCTGACCCACTAATCTTCCCTCCATTGGGGTTTAGAACACAACACCCCAAAATATGGCACCCTGGCAATTAAGAAAACTGTAGCAGCAAGAAGCTCAATCTGACCTTTCCCTGTTTTTCTATGTAAAGCTGACCATAAAGAGATTCTCTGGTCTACCTAACCTGGAAGTAGGTCATAAGACCCTCATTCCAGAGAGGTCCTAGCCTATACCTAGAGACCAAGAAGAATCTGAATGGACAGGCCTTGCTGGTTCCCCCCTCCCCTTTTTATTACCATTAGATCATACACATTTTCTCCAATCATATATCTACACCACTGTCCATTCCTCTTCGAGCCTAATAAATAGAACATAAACTGCATAAAAATACAGTTTTCCCTGGTTCTTTGGGTCTTCATTTCTGAAGGCTCCCATGTCATGTAAAACTTTGATTAAATAAATTTGTTATGCTTTTATCTTGCTAATCTTTTTGTTGTTGTTGTTTATAAGGGTGTTAGCCTTGACCCTTGTGATGGGTGAGGAAAGGATATTACTTTTTCTCCCTTATACCTCTATCTGCTTTTTCACCTCATCCCAATTGCTCTGATTCCTTACTTTTTTCCTATCCAGAATGTGGATATACTCACTCAGGAAGTCTGGCCCACGAGAAGCATTTACGTCCCCACAGCACCAGGATTTCCAAGCCCTCAGAGAAGGCACCTTCAGCCATGGGCACTCCTGCCCAGACACTCCTGCCAGCCACCCTGCAGTCTACCCAGCATTCCACCCTTCCACCAGGATCACCATCTTTGGACAAAGGGCTCACCCTTCCCAATGAATTCACCACTTCTACTGTGGGCCACAGTCTGAAAGTTGGGCCTGAGGCTGGGACTAATCAGATGCAGCTGGAAGAAAAAGCTGGTCCCACAATCGGTGCTGTGCTGTTGCTCATCCTCATCATCTTCACAGCAGTCCTCATGTATGTGTGCAAGAAGAGGAGGCGCCAGTCACTGCAGTCCTCTCTAGGTAAACTGGATCTCTGAACCCCTTCCCCAGGGTTTGGGGCCTTCCTGGCAGGGATTCTGCCCCCAGTAGCTCTCAAGTGGTTGGAAACTTGACTCAGGAATACAGATTTTAAGGCTATCCACACCATGGACCACAGGCCATGAGGGCAGATTCAGCCAGAGACTGTACAGAGTGGAAAGGGAGGGAAGCCACCAAGGGCCCAAGAACAAGTGCTTGGAATAACATCAAGGAGAAGATGGCTAGACCAAGCTAGGAGAAGATGAAGCTGTGGAGGAAAGAGGGGGCCAGTCATTCAACTCACAAATTTCTACTGAGCACCTACTATGTACCAGGTCATAGGATTAATCTCTTGGAGTCTGATTCCCCCAGTCAAGCTACTATTCCCCCCACCACCCTCCTTGATCTCAAAACTCATCTCTCAATTTCTTTATCCTTTTCAGATTTGCAGCTTCCATATACACCTGCGGCACTAGACTCTGACGACTGAGCCAAGACTGGAAGCTTGTGAGGGTAGAGACTATGATTTGTTTTTATAAAAACTCCATGTAATTAATATGATAGTCCAATCTCTGGCACATGGCAGGTACTCTATACATATTTGTTTTGTTTGTTTTATAGAGACAGGATCTCACTCTGTCACCCAAGCTGGAGTTCAGTGGTGCGATCATATCTCACTGTAACCTTGAGCTCCTAGACTCAAGCAATCCTCCTGTCTCGGCCTCCCAAGTAGCTAGGACTACAGGTGCACTCCACCAAGCTTGGCTAGTTTTTTTTTTTCCTTAGTCAGGGTTCACTCTGTCATCCAGGCTGAAGTGCAGTGGCACACTCACAGCTCCCGCAGCCTCGACCTGCAGGGCTCCGGTGATCCTTCCGCCTCAGCCTTCTGAGTAGCCGGAATTACAGGCATGCGCTACCATGCCCGGCTGATTTTTTGATTTATTGTAGAGATGAGGTCTTGCTGCCCAGGCGGGTCTCAAACCCGCGGGCTCAGGCAATCCACTCACCTCAGCCTCCCAAAGGCACGGGATTACAGGCTGAGCCACCAAGCCCGGCTACCTCAGGCTTTTAAGTAGCTGGAACTACAGGTGTGTACCACCATGCCCAGCTAAGTTTTTAAAATTTCATTTATTGTAGAGTTAAGGTCTTGCCAAGTTGCCCAGGCTGGTCTCAAACCCCTGGGCTCAGGCATTCCTCTTGCCTCCACCTCCCAAAGTGCTGGGATTACAGATGTAAGCCACTATGTCTGGTCCAAGCTTAGCTAATTAAAAAAAATTTTTTTGTAGAGTTAGGGTTACACTGCCTAGGTTGGTCTTGAACTTCTGGCCTCAAGCAATCTTCATACCTTGGCCTCTCAAAGCCTGGGATTATAGCTGTGAGCCACTGTGTCTGACCTGTACATAACCAGCCAACTTTCTAACCATGCTTTCTCTTAGACCAAATATCTTTTCACACTATGCCAGTTGTTCCTCCCCAGCCTCAGCCGTCTCCTGCTTCCTCCTTCAACCCCATAATAAAGGCCTGGGCTTTCCCACTCTCCCTCCCCAGTAGCTGCTGATGTCATATAGGCTGATTTTACTTCCTCAATCCCTTGTATCACTCAATCCCAATGAGAGTCTGAACTTGTTTTTATTCTTACTGCTTTTATTATTAAAACCCTTAATTCTTGTTTTGTCTCTTCCAACGAAGAAGAATGTATCTTCATTGGGCAACATCTGCAGAAAGCCTGGGACAGGGGCATGAAGTGTATGAGGAAGTGAGTTAAGTGTCTGAATCTTCATCTCCTGTCTGAGCCTGTCAGCATGTTTATGGAGTGCAGAGCAGGAGCACCCTGCTGGAGAAGTCAGGACATAGCTGTGGGCAGGCTTGGACTTTAGTTTCTCCATTCCTACCTTTTGCCCTTTGTTCCTGTATACGATAACCAGCAGGACACACACGTGTCTGCCCATGCTCCCCATCCTACAGGTTCCCAGCTTCTGTCCCATGGTGCAGGTGGGGGGGTCTTCCTCCAAGTTTTTTATCTACCTCCTTGGCCTAGTTCTCCAGCATCTGCTCACAGGTTCGGGCCACATCACTGAGCTTGAGGCGGGCATAGTCCACTCGTTTCAGAGCCATCTGACAGTCCTTCCTCGAAGAGTAGCTAGAGCCTTCATGGGGCTGCCCTGTAGCCACCTACAGGACAGTTAGACGAATCAATGGAGCGCTGCCTCTTCTACCCTTACCCCAACTAGGTATCAGGTCTCTCGTCTCAGTTCTTCCCCAAGTTGGAATCTGTTATGCCACCAGCTAGCTAGGTGACCTAAGGTATATCATTTAACTTCTCTTACCTTGTCTGTAAAATGGGATGACAATAACTACTTCCTAGAATTGTTGAAGGATTAGATAAAATAATGCAGTGTCTGGCACACCGTCAAAATTAGTAAATGGTAGTCGCCTTTATGATGACTTCAGAACCTTCTCAATCCTGTCCTTTTTCTCAAGATGTAAGCATCTGGGGCCCCATGCCCTTGAGGTCAAGCCAAGTGTCCAAGGACACAATTCTGTGGTTCTAACATTGTTTACACACCCTCTCCCAGGCACCTCCCCACCTAATGACTCATGTGATGTTACCCAGTGAGGTCGGCAGGGCTGCCTTTAATTCTTTCCTTTTAGAGGAAGAAATCAGCCCTAGAAGGCCGGCCGAAGAGGTTTGGTCCTGCCCAGCTAATGCTCCACCCGGGATCCCCAAAGGCTAAGGCTGCGAAAGAGAGCTGGGGGTTGGCGCCCAGCACCTTCCAGACACACCCACCTGGGTAAGGTAGCGGATCTGAGCTGATAGCTCCGCCTCCACGTGTTGCACCGAAGCGGTGAAGGCTGCCGCCTGCCGGTCTAGGAGCCGCTCATTGGTTTTTTCCTTGGACAATTCTAGGATCACGGTACCTGCGGAGGCGGAGAGAGGGCGGGTCTATCCGGAGACTGCCAGTGTAGCCCCGCCCTAAGGCCAGCCCCTCTCAGTCCGCACTTTCGCTGCGCATGCACTTAGGATCCCTCCCAACCCTGCTCCAACGCTCCGATCCGGGTCTCCACGCGCAGCTGCGCTTCGCTTTTGCTTGGTGCCGTCCGGTTATCGTATCCTGGACCTGCGTTCTGAAGGATGGCGCCGATTTCCCGTTCGATGTCTTCCAGGGCGCGTAGTCGCTCGTTCGCCAGGCTGTACGTAGCCATCGTCACTCCGGGAATCCTCCACCGGACCTTCTCCTTATGCGAAATGCGACGCTTGGTCCCGGAAGTGGCTGCCGGTGTACGCCTGCGCGGAGGGTACCATTTGGCGAACACTACAATTCCCAGGAAGCTCAGCGCAATCTCGCCCTTCTTGGTCCACTTGTAAACGACAATTCCCAGAGCATCCGGCGCTTGTCCGGGTAGGCGTCGGCTCTACCGCATCGCCGGTGTTAAGAGGCGGTATTGAAATATCGCTTAGCTTGAGGTCATTCAGACCTGTTCATCTGCAAGACACTGCCTTGTGGCCTACATTTAATTTATTCTACAAGAATTTATTAGGCAACTGCTGGGTGCTAGGTGATGATGGTGGGTGTTCTGGAGGTACTCCTCCAGATTGGATAGACATGGGTCCTTTGTCTGCCCATCCCGCCCGTGGAAATCTTGGCTTGGTGAGTTACGTAATTCTCTCTAGCAACCCCCCTGACCCTGAGCCCAGCTGGAACACAGACTGTTGATGTCTATTCTCAGATGCTGGCTCCTTCCACCTATGCCCCTTTCCTTTTCCGGTTACCTTTTATGTGCTGAGCCTCTGGGGATACAAAGGTAAATCTAGATGGACTGTCATGCGATACCTCTAACACACAGATGTTTTGTTAGAGATGTGTCCAGAGTGTATCCCAAGGAGCATAGAGAATGGATTCTTTGAATAAATGAGAGGTTAGCGTGGAAAAGGGAAACAGCATAAGCAAGAGCATGGTGCTGTGAAGGGGCCTGGCACATTTGGAGTACAGCAAGGGGTTCAGTTTGCCTCGACCGAATAGAGTGTGGTAGTGGTTAGGTGTGACAGTGGTGAGATTGGAGGGAGAAGCTGGATCAGGAAAAAGCTTTCAGGCTGAGTAATTTGGACTTTATTCTGAAGGCATTTGTGAGCCTATGAAGGGTTTTTTTTGTTGTTGTTTTTTTTTGAGTTGGAGTCTCACTCTGTCGCCCAGACTGGAGTGCAGTGGCACGCTCGTGGCCACAGCAGCCTCGACCTGCTGGGCACTGGCAATCCTTCCGTCTCAGCCTTCCAAGTGGCTGGAACTATCGGCGTGTGCCACCACATCCGGCTAATCTTTATTTTTTATTGTAGAGACAAGGTCTTGCCAAGTTGCCAGGGCTGGTCTTGAACCCGTGGGCTCAGTCGCCTAGGTCTCCCAAAGTGCTGGGATTACAGGCTGAGCCACCGAGCCCGGACTGAAGGGTTTTTAAGAAGTGTGTTATGACCAGATTTACCTTTTTGGAAAGATCACTTGCGACAGTTTATAGAAGATCATCAAAAAAAGAAATCTCTTTGCCCAAGAGTAGCAAATGACCGGAGACTCACTTAAACTTGATGAATTTGGCATTTGACTTCATCCTTCACTGAATCCTAATAAAATAACAGCAGCTATTTTTAAAGGGGCGTGCCACTGCACTCCAGTCTCGGTGACAAAGGGAGATTCCAACTCAAAAAAAAAAAAAAAAGGAAGAAAGATACAACCTGGTTTACCCTTAAATTAGTGACATCATGTACAACTGGGGTGAAGGTGGTACTAAAATTAGGAGGATTATTTGAAGTCATTAGACATCCAGATCTGTTGTCCAGGCTGGAGTGCAGTGGCACAATCACAGCTCACTGCAGCCTTGACTTCCTGGGCTCAGGTGATCCTTCTGCCTCAGCCTCCTGAGTAACTGGACTACAGATATGCACCACCACACCTAGCTAATTTTTTTATTTTTATTTTTTTAGAGATGAGGTCTCACTATGTTGCCTAGGCCGGCAGATCTCTTTCTTGACTACATATATCTTAGCAACTAATCTCCCCCAACCCATCAGAATACTGGAGGTTTATTTGTTGGAGATACAAAACAGGGTTTGTAGCGTGGCAGGCACTTGGGCATAGTTGAGGGCAGGAGTACTGTACTGAAAACAGATTAAGTGAAAGTTTATATACTGAGTAATGGGTTCTAGAACTCTGGCAACCAGGCTTATACTTTCCTGGTTAGAGACTTGGAAATTCTTCTCTGGGAAATTTGATTAGTGAAAAGACTTAAGGATATTAATATCAGGGGTTCTCCAACCAAGCAGTTGGCCAGATCGCCTCATAGTGAAACTTATAGCTGGTGAGTCCCAACTGTGTACGTGGAACTTCTAGACAATTTCTTAGCACTCCACTCTTTAATATGAGCAGACACTAAAGATATCTGAAGAAACTCTCTAACATGAAAGATAGAGACCAAAAATAAACAGAGGGAAAAAGATAATTATTTAAGTTCTTAGATAAGAGATTCTATAAGAAAGGATTGAATCTTTAGCTTGTGTTAGAGTAAAGGTTTAAAGTGTAATGAACATCAAACCAGGGCTTAATTATTTTTCTCAGTGTGGGTAGTTCAGTGTGCTCTACAAATCCTACAGGGACCATGGCTAACATTGCAGCTCTGCCATCCTTTAGGGTCTTATCCCCAAAAGTATGGCCTGCAGACTTGAGCAGCATTGGCATTACCTAGAAACATGTTAGAAATGCACAATGTCAAGCTGGGCGTGGTGGCTCATGCCTATAATCCCAGCACTTTGGGAGGCTGAGGTGAGAGGATTACCTGAGCCCAAGGGTTCGAGACCAGCCTGGGCAACTTGGCGAGCCCTCATCTCTACAATAAACTGAAAAAAAATTAGCTGGGCTTGGTGGTACGTGCCTGTGGTTCCAGCTACTTAGAAGGCTGAGGCGGAAGGATCACTTGAGCCCAGCAGGTTTGAGGCTGTGGTAGCTGTGAGCATGCCACTGCACTCCAGCCTGGGCAATAGAGTGGTACTCCAACTCAAAAAAAAGAAAGAAAGAAATGCACAATCTCAGTTTTCGCCCCAGACCTACCTAATCACTGTGTTTTAAGGTGATTTGTACAGTGCAGTAAAAATTTGAGAAACACTGCTCCAGGGCATTGTTGTTTGCATTGTCAAAACTGGGTTCTGCAATCCCTGAACTGCAGCTGAGAGGAAGGGGAAAGGGAAAATGTGGAGGAGACACACCTATCTCAGAGGTCTGTCTAGGAAGTGGCCTGGATCTCTTCTACTCACATAACATTGACGAAAACTTGGTCATATGATCTCAACTAACTTGGGGTTTCTAGGTAATCTAGTCCTTACCTAGGTGGCCAGCAATTGTTCTAGTACTATGGCAGAATACATTTTAGGGGTTATCTAGAGTTTCACAAAGCCAAGCTCTGAATTACAAAGGTAGAATAAAGACATTTTTATATGTACAAGGGCTCAACATTTTTCTTCTGTATACCCTCTTTTTCAGGAAGTTCTTAGCGTTAGACCCCCAAAGAGGAAGATATGGGATCCAGAAACTAAGACCAACTCATGAGAGAGGTGAATGGAGAGGGGATATGGTGAGGATAAACCCAGGGGAGTAGATTAGAAGGACCCTGGAGAGATAGGTTCAAAAAGGTGAAAGAGGTGGTGATCGTCTGGTGCGGTAGCTCATGCCTATAATCCCAGCACTTTGGGAGGCAGAGGTAAGAGGATTACCTGAGCCAGGGGTTCGGGACCAGCCCGGGCAACTTGGTGAGACCGTGTCTCTACAATAAATAAAAAAAAATTAGCCGGGTGTGGTGGTGCATACTTGTGGTTCCAGCTACTTGAAAATCTAAGGTGGAACGATCCCCTGAGCCTAGCGGGTCAAGGCTGTGGTGGCCGTGAGTGTGCCACTGCACTCCAGTCTAGAATGGGTGACAGAGTGAGACTCCAACTCAAAAAAAAAAAAAAAAAAAGGGTTGTGATCATCTGTTTTGTTTTGAATGAATTGAGAGGACACATAGATGTTTGAAAGAGAATATAGGTCTGATTAGTGTTAAATTTAGAGAAAAAAATTTTTTAAATGACAATTACTCAGGGAAAACAAAATTATGTAAAAGGAGGAGCTCTAAAGGTGGAGAAAGTAGCTGTCTCTGAGGAGAAGGAAATTGGAGGGAGAAGGGGTCCACTTTTTATTGTCATAGGTCTGGTATTACTATCCGACCTCTATTTTTTTTTTTAATTGAAGTCTCACTCCATCGCCCAGGCTGGAGTGCAGTGGCCATCCCAGCATCAACCTGCTGGGCTCCAGCGATCCTTCTACCTCAGCCTTCCAGGTAGTTGGAACTACAGGAGCGTGCTACCATGCCCAGCTAATTCTTGATTTATTGTAGAGATGAGGTCTTGCCAAGTTGCCCAGGCTGGTCTCGAACCTGTGGGTTCAGGCAATCCACTCACCTCAGCCTCCCGAAGTGCTGGGCTTACAGGCTAAGCCACCAAGCCCATTCTGACTCTTTAACCTGTGTAAATATATAACTCTGAAAATAAAAAGTAAAGAATGAATGAAAAATGAGAGAAGAAATAAAAAAAGATACACTGTACTTTACTGTGAAAGAGACCTAAGAGTGGAGCAGAGTGTTTTCTTTGGTTTCCTCCTTTTGTTTTTCTTTCTTCCTCCTTCTCTTTCTTTCTACAATGGAAGAGACTTGTGAAGGTTTATTTACCATGGGAGAAGAGCCAGTAGAGAGAGACAGGTTGAAGAGAGGGGTGTGGCTTGATGAATCAAGGTCTCAGAGAAGATGGGAGGGGAGAGATCTGAGCACAGATGGAAGAATTAGTTTTGAATTGGAGAAGCCATGTTAGAGAATTGGTGTTTGTTGGTAGGAAGTGGGAAATTGAATTCATCCATCCCTCAGTGCCTATTCTCTGTGAAAAACAGGAGGAGTAACTTTGAGCGTTAGGAAGATGGAAAATTTGTGAGTAGGATGGAAGCAAGAGAGGGACAAGGGGTTATCAGGTATTGGGGTTTAGCTTCGATTAGAGACCGTAAGTTTTTAGCAGCCCCAGATCCATACCTAGTGGTGAGCACCTAGAATGTATTCAAAAAATTGTGCACCTAGAACTTGTTCGAAAAATTGTGTTGAATGAATAAGTGTGGCTGTTTGATTTTTCTTTGACAGTGCACATCAGCCCCTTTCTTGGAGCAGAGAAGGGGTGGAGGAGAGTTGGACAGATCCAAGGGTGTGGTT